CCAGCCCTCCTCCCGCTCCAACCTTCCCTCCCCTCCCGCTCCTGCCCTTGGTAGCAGCTGCCGGCGGTGGCGCATCACCATCCTCAGTGGCCTTGACCTTCTCAGCCGCCGTAACGAACCATTGCAGAAAAAACGCGTACAGCTCCAACGGCGTTTTGTGCGCCATGTACGACTTCTGATCTCCCAACTCCACATCACGCATAGTGGCCTCTAATTCCGCCAGGAGGCCAGAGGAGATGGAGTCGAGCAGTTTGCTCATAACGGAGCCATATTCGCGTCTGCGTGTTTGAGTAGACACCTATAAATTTCAAAAACCTGTTCGTCCGTAATTGCACTGCTGGAGTCGGCAACAGCCTCCACGGCAGCTACCAAATCGTCAGATTTTGGAGTGGAATTGGAATGAGGTAGTCACCTTCAAGAAGCCGCTCCGGATCCTCTGTTGTGAGATCATAGTCGTGTGGAATGTCGTAACTATCGAGCTCTTGAAGAGCCTCGACCTCTATTCGTAAATCGAAACTGCTGATCATCGTGGTCGACGTTGACTTCAAAGTTGAACGCATCGCGTCAGTCACGTGCACATTTTACAACTTGGCCTTGGGTTTGGCTGGATGATCGTTCAGACGTTCAAGTCTAAAATCTCCGTAGTTTGTACACCATGAGCCTCGTCTAATGAGTTGCAAAGCGTTAAATTTTTCGAAACGGTGATTTGGCTGGTCGATGTCAATCGCAAAGCAATATTCAACCGCCCTATTTGGGCAAGTCCTGAAAATACATCTAAAATAAATGTGGAACGATACAATGTCGAGTAGATAATTTCCAAATACCAGATCAAAGATAAAATGGTATACCGTACACCACCGGAGCTGCGCCAGTCAAGTACTTCAGCTTGCATGAATCCCGCGACTGTGCCACAGAAGCCACCAGAGACAGAGAAGGAGACACGTGGGGTTCCTTTCCGGGTTCATTCCACTTGCTAACATCCGCAGGCGTCAAACGCAGCTTATCGAAGACGGATTGAGAGAACTTGTCGATGTCCCTGTCCGTGACGTCCCACAAGTTCGCGACAAGCGTAGGACTGATAGAAGATGGCATTAATGGTAAGTGAAGCGGGAGACAGTTCGAATACGTACCACCCAGCGAGCATGTAGTTATAAGATGTTCCCGTCCTATCAAAGTCACCCAACTCCCGGAGAGCACCCGACGAACAACCCCAAAGCATAGTTGCAGCGCATTTCGGGAGGCTTCGAATCCTATGAGATCGGATATACTGTTCGCCGCCTCCATGGCCAAAGTAACTATAATAGAACCATTCACATCAGCAGTCTTTGACTGAACAAGAGGAATACTTACACAACCAAGTCCTGCGTCTTCAGCGCATTCACAAACTGCTGCTCACTAACAGCCTGGCCAATCACACCATCCCACCCAGCTTTCTTCATCCCATGAGCCCAATCCCGGAATCGACCTTCGGTTCGAGCTAGGTCGCCACTGGGATTCAAAATGAAGTATCCTTTTCGAGGATCAAGGACCGCTCCAGTGATTAATTCGTCCTCCACAAGTTCGCCCTGTCTTTTCCACTTCGCAAACGCAAGCCTGTCGTACAAGAACTCAATGTTGGGGATTCGACTAACACTTCGCCCCCTCAGAATTGGTATATTCTCCCAAGGTATCCCCTGAACATTCTTGTCAAGGACCAAAAACAAATGTTCGTCCTGGTCCTTCGCTAATGAGGTGGTCGTCTTGCCCGTGATCGTCTTTTTCCACTGCCGAAGCTTCGCCGCGTGTTCTTCCAACACAGCCCGAAGGTCTACCACCAGCTGAGCGATATCGACTTCTGCAATAGCGACTGGAACGCCATGGAACGAGTAGAGGTCCAGGATGAAGTAGATGAGATCCTCGAGCTCTTCATCTTTGCACTTCGGTGACAATGTGGAGAAACACTTGAGAATCGGATCGTCGAGCGTCATTTGACTAGGTGCCTGTGCCTGCGATGCAGTTTTCTTGTGGCTTCCTGCCCGCTGCTTCGGTTTCTTGTCCTTAACATGAAGGCTACGCTGAAAGATCTTGTCGAATTGCGCCCGGAGATCCAGAATCATTTCGGGAGTTGCTTCCGACCGTGGACTAAGGATTGTCTGATATACATAGTCAATACATGTCAGACGAAAAACAGAAATCACTAACCTTGAACGCTCCCAACCAGCAAAACTCGATGTTTTCAAGCAGCTCGCGTAACCTCGTATCCAGATCACCCCGTAGCTTCCACCAATTCGCGCGAGCCTCTTCGTCATCAGATTTGATGTTGACGGCTGTCTTGGTACCCTCGTCACTCAACCTTACGATCTCGCGCAATTCGCCAATAGCATCATCGAAACCCAAATGGTCTTCATCATTGTCATCTCCGTTATCTCTCCTTCCTTTCAGAGGCACGCAGAAAACCAGTGGTTGGCTTCCTTCGACTCCGCCTTCTCGTCGTGAGATGAACAACGTGCTCTTATCGTCTGTGATATTGATGTTGATTATGATCCAGTTCTCAGGAAGGTCCCCCGTCTCCGCGGTCGAAAGTGACTGAACGTCAAGGCGTCGTGAACGATATTTCTCCCGGATAGAGGTCCAGTAAGCTTGAATCAAGGTATCTTCTCGCACGGCGCTGTCTTCTGCATCATCATCGGACTCTAAATCAACGTTGAATCTGCCCGGGTGTTCTATCTTTGGCCGAGGACGAGGTGTCCCATCCGAGGTGATAAGTGGCCACTGGAGGTCGTCGGTCATTTGAAGTGCGGAAAACTTGTGTTCAATGGATTCCAACATCTCTCTCCGCAGAGTAATTGCAGTCGAAACATCTGTGAAACCATCAGCATCCCAATCAAGGGTGATAAAAGGAATCTCACCCAGTAATGTTGCAGTGACTACTGACCCGCCATTTCCTGGTCTACCAAGGGAGGTTTGGAAGGCTTTGATCAGTGCGAGAGAGCATCAGGAGGCACTGACTTGGGTCAGTAGCTACAAATACCCTCAGTATCCTGAATACCTGGGTACACAAGTCCCCTAGTGCATAGTTCCCGTAGTCATCCTATTAATCTCAGTAGCATCGGTAGTTCCCTGAACATGGTAGGTAGCTCTGGATTGTGTCCGTTGCTCTGTGTCTACTGTAGCTACCAGGTGAACCAGGGCTCTGTAGTCAAGTCTAATTTTATGTTGCTTGCATTGTTTCTGATCTACGAAGGCTACTGGTTCACGGTAGTTAAGTCCTCGGATAGGAGCTGGTCATTTTTTCGAATCAAAATGACAATAGTGATCCAGAAGCATCAGATAGATTTTATGGACATCTGAGTATTACGAGGCAGTATATACACACAGGCTACCTAACCATAAGCGGACGGAAGCATATAACAAATCTAAACATCCGAAACTTCACTATCCGTCTCACCGGTTCGACCGTCGAGCTCCATCTGTACACGGTCCTTGATAGCATCTTGAAGGCAAGAGGGTATCTTCAAGCTGGCGTCAAACACACCTGCACTGCGACTGAATGCCAATTGATTAGTATGGATGGTCGTCGCATGAATGAAGAGACTGACAGTGCACGGTTGAATAGCTTCTTGCGGATATTTTCAATGACAGAAGGGTTGATAGCATTCCACGCCTCAAGCTCGAGGCGATACGCTTTATGGGTGGCGAGAACGACCTTTTCGTAGAATTTTGATTGGATAAAAACCCCCGTAGACCACTCGCGTAAACAGAAATCAATCTAGAGTATCATGTCAGTCAAGATCCGAATGAGACAAGGGGACAAAGCGTGTACCACGGTGAAGATAAGTGCAAGTGTTTCAAGTGGGATAGGGTTAAAGTAATGCTGGAGGAGTGGCCCTTGAGACGTCTTGTCTTCAAACCACGCGAGGTATAAGATCTCAGAGATAATCTTGTTCTGACTAAACCCAGTGAGAGTGCCGGTATCCTGAAAGGATATTGCCAGTGATTAGATAGAAATTAGAGCGGTGGGTGAAGTAAATAAAACCTTGTGATGAAACGCCCCGTTTTCCAAAAGCGCCTCACATGATTGCTTGTTGCGGGCTTTGGTTTGTGGAGTGACTTTGCGACTGAACCCGTAGATTGCGATGATTTGTGGTCGAACAACTGCCAGGACATGGCCGCGAATGCGCGAGCCACGCCTCTTGATCTTTTATATAATAGTTTTGTCAGGGCGCAATGGGACGGACATAAAAAAGAGCTCACGAGGTTGCACATTCTATCTGATAGGTTGTAGAACTCATCTGCGTCCTTGGATGCCATCTTCCAGCAGCGCAAAGCCCATTGGCGACGTAGATCAGAACTTGGGAAAGCGTCGTGGGTTGAAACTAAACCTTCATAGTCGAACATAGTTCGCACAAGAATGGCGTTCACGACATCGTTATAGTCAGATGCTTTTGCACGGCTACTGCTCATAACACCGTCAAGGAGTTCAGCAGCGGGGAAAGATTCCTTTCTCCGTACCTGGGTGGAGGGAGGTGGCAAGGAGCGCTGGGTGGATGGCGGTGGCAACGAAGAGCGCTGGGATTGACTATCCGAGGATGCCACCGCATCGCCTGCATATCCAGGGCTTGATGGGGAGGTATGACGAGACGGGGAGCTTCGGGCAAGGCTTTCGTGATCGACAGGCTCGGGTGAAGCAGACACCGGCTTGTGGGGTACCTTGAGAAATGTACGATTGGAGAGGTGTGAGGTTGGGATTGATAGAGCTGCTCGTTCCTGGGTAATATTGGAGCGGCGCAGTTGGGTAGTTGGTTTGGAGGATATGGCCACAGCGGCGAGTTGGGTAATCTGGTCACAGAAGTTGTCAACATAAGGCGCCTCAAGACTCAGATAAATAGAAATGGTGATACCGAAGTATGAAAGCCTCGAAAATCTCTGGCGTCCAAAGGCTCCTCACTTTCATACTCCTCATCATCACTAGGCTGCGAAGCTAGAAGGGAAAAAACGTTACTGAGTGAAAAAAGAAGGCATTGAATCGACATACATTTGGTCTTTTTCGCAACTTGTCTTGCCTTTGCGAGCTTTTTTTCAAGGTCTTGAACCTTCTTTGCATTGGCGTTAACGGTGTTTGTATCTGAAAATGAAAGAGTTATAGCATATAACGGCAAAAATATGCAAAGGAAGCTTACCCAGCACAGTTTGTTTATTGCTGGCTACTCGTTTGCGTGGGACGCGCACCTCGGAATCCGCTGCCGAAGCCTTGTGTTTCTTCAATGGAGGAGCTTCTGACCCTTGACTGTCCTCGTCTTCTGAAGGAGCCGCCTTGCGAGGAGGCATGGTGGTGGTAAAGAGCAAGCGAG